GCTTTTTGAAGGCTACTGGTCTCCCATAATGCACAATCATTCCTGTGTGTTCCACCAGGGTTTGGCCTGCTTTGGACCGTCACTTAAGCCAGGGGTCTTCAGACTTGGCCCTTTTATGAGGCTGGCTGAGGAATTCTGGGAGTTGAAGTCCACAAGTCATAAAAGGGCTAAGTTTCAAGACCCCTGAGTTAAGCTATATCTTTAACAGCTTGAGTTTTCTCATAGGCTGGGCCTTGGTTTGGGCAAGATCACTGTTGTTCAGTCTTAGCAACTTGAAGATTGGTGGATCAACTCCCAGAATCCCCCAGCCAGCCTGCTTTAAGAGGGGCGGGCTTCCACTCCCAGAATTCCCCAGCCAGCCTGCTTTAAGAGGGTTCTGGGTCGACCCATCATCAAGTCCTCAAGGTTGAGGAAGCTAGACAGACAGGCTCCGCGTTGGTGAGCAATTTAAATGTTTTGGCTTTTTTTTGCTGAAGTCATGTTGTGTTTAAGACCGCTTTATTTTGTAAACCTGCCCACAGTCGTCCTCTGCCATGGGGTGACTTGCAAATTTGACAAATAAGTAAGTTCTGTTTATATGGATCCCAACCCTCCTGAAGTGACTATAAAGAGCTATGTATAAAAATGAGGATTTTATTTATTTATTTATTAAAAAAAGAACAACAAATCTCTAAAATCTTTTCCTTAGAGCCACAGAGAAAATCCCCAGCTGATCAGGTTTCTGGATTTCGGTCTCGCTTCCTCCCTTTCCAAGGATTTTCCCAGTGTTTGTGACCCTGAAGGGAATAACGAGATATACTGAACGTCCCAACCTATGCTAATGCAAGGCCTGATTGCTATATGGAATTTAGTTTGATTAAGAGAGATTGAATAATAATGATATACATGTCATGGAAGGAAATAATGATAATGATAATGATAATGATAATGATAATAATAATAATAATAATAATAATAATAATAATAATAATAATAATAATAATAATAATAATAATAATAATAATAATAATAATAATAATAAAGTTGGAAGGGACCTTAGTGGTCATCTAGTCCAACCCACTGCTCAGGAGGAAACCCTATACCAATGATGGCGAACTTTTTAGAGACCGATAAAGTTGGAAGGGACCTTAGTGGTCATCTAGTACAACCCACTGCTCAGGAGGAAACCCTAGACCAGTGATGGCGAACTTTTTAGAGACCGAGTGCCCAAACTGCAACCCAAAATCCACTTATGCATCCTGGGGTGCCGGGTGGGTGTGGCCCATTGGGTGGGTGTGGCCCATTGGGTGGGCGTGGCTGCGGTGGTAACGGCAGACTGGGTGGGACTAAAAAGTTCAATCAATCAATCCCAACTTTGCAAGATCTTTTTTTTTCCCGTGAGAAGTTGAAATTGACTGATTGATTGAACCTTTTTTTTTTTTGTACACGGCGGCGGAAGCCTAAAGCGAAAAGGTTTTATAAAACCCAGCTGAAGGCCTAGGACTGGGGCGATGGCGCACGTGCCCACAGAGAGGGCTCTGAGTGCCGCCTCTGGCACCCGTGCCATGGGTTCGACACCACTGATCTAGAAGGTCCTCAGTTTTCAAATCTATCTATTCAGTCTAGAGCTGTATGGACAAGTAGAATAAAAGCTTTTTTTTGTGCCAGTGTCCAAGTCATGACTCCTTCTCTGTTGTCACAATGCTTGACGTACATCCTTGAATTCTTGCTGGCCTTCCTTTTCTGCGATCCTAGGGGCTCCTGCACAAGAGTTGTGTCGTTGTGCGTCTCTTTTGTCATTAGGTGGCAGGCTTTATTTTGGATGCTTTCAAAAAAGGATCCCACCCCTTGTCCTAGTTAGACAGCGAGAAGCCCCTGGCTGCTTGACTCTAAAAGGTACACGGCCATAAGCTTCGTCAAGAAATTATCCTAAAAATCAATAAAGGAGAATGTGAGGGGGTTGAAATGTGGGGTCCTTGGTGGTCTCTGAGATAGGTTGTTTTCTTGCAGACGTTTCATAACCCAAACTAGGTAACATCATCAGTGTTAGAAGAGAGAGGGGTTTGTGGAGAGGAGGAGGAGGAGGAGGAGGAG